TTCCTCAATTTAACAGAGGCCCGTTCTGTTTAGAAACTTGGACACCCTAAGTTGTGTCCGTGGTTATAAGTTTGCTCATGGGTGGATTAGACAGATCATTGAGAATTCAAACCACTAATATGAGTACTCTGAATAACATTATAAGGTGGTGGGCATTTTTGGGTGAATCTAACTTGTGAATATCATAACAAGGTGAAACTCAAACTTGGTCTTGCTTATATTCAAGCAAATGGGTCCCACTTTCTCACACCTAAGCACAAACTATAGCTCTGCCAACGTTTCTCAAAAGATTCCAATATTAAGCTCTCAGAAGATAATTCAAAAAGAATGTAAAGCTCTCTCAAAATTTGGAATTATAAATTCTTGATCTATCTCTTTCTTCGGCACATTGGTCTTCTTTTATACTCCTCCCACCCAAGCTTCCTGTTGGACAATCTTCAAGATGATCAATCTCCAATCTAGCCGTTGGACAATTACAAAAAAGATCGGGTAGCCATTTAGGCTGATAAATAAGATTTTTTGCTGATTTGGTCGACCACACAATCAAATCTAGATTTTCAAAAATGGAGTACTTTAGCTATGGAAACAATCTTGTCTTCGGAATCAATCAAGATATCTTGCACGATTGAATATTTTGCATAGATAATTTTGGTCAATTTAATTCTTCTACAATTAGGAATTCATAAAAGATCCCAAGCTGTCAAGAGATAAAATATCTTAAGATAATATTCTTGAAATTCGTGATAAAAAGTTGTCATCGCAAGTTTATAAGTGCGCTACTCATATTCATTGTCATTACTTATATCCAACTTTCTAGTATACTGCTAATATCTAGTGTATATGCTAATGATATCCACTCAGTAATCTGCTTATATCCATACGGTATTCTGTCTATATCCACACAGTATGTTGCTGGTTTTCATGTAATGCCTTGCTGATATCCATGCAGTATCCTGTTCATATTCATGCAATGGATACACATCGCTTCCTGAATATATACAACTATTCTCCTATAGACACTTTCATTACGATATTGATGTAGAGCATGTAGACTTAACACTATGGTATATCCAAGATTATATGTGCTCCACATAGGTTCTTCAAGTCAATCAAAATCTTTTTATCAATCATATCAAAGTCCTTTTTCAACGCGGATACATCCTGAAATACAATCAACTCTTGTATTTATCAAGATCAACATAAATCATGGATGATTTTGTTGACTTCGAAACATATTAGGATTTTCTAAACAACGTATCCATATCCAGATGATTGTCCCACCGATGGGATGACTGAAAAAGCCTATGACTTAAATTGATGGGTCGCGACGGGTCAACCAATCGGGGAACATGTTGAGCAAACCACCACTTATAAGTCATTCTATTAGAAGAGTGAACGGTGAGGCCACTACCTTAAAGACCAAATACCCATTGGCTCTGTGAACAGTTTGACTACTACATGCCATGATATATCACATTTGTTATGATGTATAGCCATTTGTCATAACGAACGACACTTATCATAGCTCGATGACCATTTGTCAACACTAACCTGACAGGTTAAAGTGAAGAACTCTTTAACTAGCTATTTAGAAGTCGAGACAAATAGGTTTTAGAACCTTTGACTCTCATCTATATTAAACACATTGTCGCTTCCTCCCTAATTTCTAATTTAAGTTTTGTAAACCAATCCATGTAAGAGCTCAAACACCCTAACCCGTGTTCATGGTCGTATGTTTGCTCAGAGGTGGAAGATCGGACAAATCCCTGGAAATTCTTTTAATAGCTAAGGGCGAGATAAAATGCCTTTTGGTAGAAGACATAGTCCCACGAATGTTCTTTATCTCAATGCCTCCAAAAAGATAAGTGAACATTAGGAGCAGTTGAGGTCATGTGACGGCTCGTAGTATGGATTCTCTAGTGATGTACTTAAGGTGGAGGGATTAGTGTGCCTTCCGGTCGTTACCGGGACAGCTACGAGGCAAGTCTGGCTATGAACTGATGATTTCTTAGGGGTGGATGGCCTGTTAGCATGCAACAGGGTCATTGGTTGACCCATGCTTGGTGCTATTTATGTCGTCACGACTTATCACCTTTTAATGAAATTTGAAATGAAACAAGGAGTAGGAGAGGTGCATGTGACTAAATCATAGCTCGCAAGTTTTACATGGTCGCAATTAAGGGAAATACCGCCGACTATACTATGACAGTAGGGATGGATGCAAGAGATCCATTTGTCTACAATCACCCTACTCCTAGAGAGCTGACGGTGCAAGTTCATTTGAGAGGTGACATCCCTAAAAGAACAACATAGATTGGACAGAGAGAGAAAATATTTAAAAATAAAAGTCATGTCAGTATTTTTCGTTAGTCAAATTAGACGAAGTTAACGGAATGATTTAATTGCACAAATTTGCTGAGTTTTAGGACTTTATTGCACTTTTGTAAGTTTTAGGACTTAATTACATCTTCGTGACAAGTTTGAAGACTCCTAGCATACTTATTCCATATGATTAATATGTTTCTGTGCACCACTCGGTAATCTTTGTTGAATATTTCTCAAATAAAAGCTTTTGGCCAATCAATTATGTAGTCAATATATATCATCAAAATGACAAAAAAACTCATCAGCGGTATCAAAGACATTTCGAAGACTAAGGTGCACTGAAGATAGAGACAGAAACCAAGAAGCCATCACAGAAAGATGGAGGGGGAGCTTGTCGCGTGGCATGGGGCAATGATAACCAACTTGGGATGGTATCTTTCTAGCCAAAACACAGAGAAAAAAACACATGATGAACCTCGGAAAAGAGAAGGAAAAAGTTGTCTTAAGATTCCATTCAATTGATTCAAAGCCCAGTATTCGTCAAAGTCAGAAGAACATTGAGGAGTCCTCTCGCCAATTCCTAGCCACAAAAATTTCTGTGGCCAGAAAATTCTATCTTTTTTTCCTCTCCAATCTTTGTTGTTTTAAACGTCCGTCGCGGGGAGTTAGTATCAATCCCTAGGCATTTCACAGCGATCGTCGTAATCTATCCATTTCCAAAGGGAATAACAACAAAAAAAAGTCCATAAATTTTGACCAAATATATAATTTGATCTCCGAACTTTTAATTTATTTAATGTGATCTTAAACTTTAGCCTAATATGTAATGTCATCCCTGAACTTTTAATTTGTTCAATGTGGTTCTTAGATTTTTTTTGTATATGTTCAAGTTAGTCAATGAACTATACATTATTATTCAGTGTTATCATTATATTAATTCAAGTTGAGGGATAATATCGAACATTTTCATATTGTCCAGAGACTAAATTGAACATATATCAAAAGTTTAGGGACCACATTGAATAAATTGAAAGTTGAGGGACGACAATACACATTGGGCTAAAGTTCAGGTACATCATTAAACAAATTAAAAGTTCAGGACTACATCGCACATTGAATAAAATTTGGGGACCATTTGTTTCATTTTCCCTTTTCATAGCCATTACACTCTCTCCACATGCTTCTACATGACAAATCATCTTAGCTCATTATGAAGTAGGGAAAACAACACAAACAGTCCCTGAACTTTGGCCAATGAATAATTTAGATCCTGAACTTTTAATTTGTTCAATATAGTCCCTAAACTTGAACTGAATGTGCAATTTAGTCCCTTAACTTTTAATTTGTTCAATGTCATCTCTGAACTTTTGGTACATATCCAATTTAGTCTCTGAACTATAAGAAAATATTCAATGTACTCCTTCCATAATTCAAGTTATGGGACTATATTAAACATCTTCATATAGTTTAGCAACTACATTAAACATGTACCAAAAGTCTAGGGACCATATTGAATAAATTAAAAGTTCACGAACCATATTGAACATTAGGCTAAAGTTCAAGACTATATTAAACAAATTAAAAGTTCATGGACCAAATTGCACATTGGACTAAAGTTCAAAGACTTTTTGTGTCATCATCCCTATGAAGTAGGATGAGTTCATTTAGTCTTCTTGAAAAGTTAATTAATCCAATATGAGTTTCATTGTCTTAACTTCGAAAATAAATGATTTCGCACTCGATTTTATAAGATAAAGACACAAGGTAATAATTTGGAGTGGCGCAACAGATAAGAAGAATCTTCCAAGTCACGGTCGATTGCTTTAACTCTAATACAAACGTAATCTCGAATGATAAGGTTCTGATCACTCGGTGATTTTCAGATGATTGTGCACTTCCTTCTTCAGGGAATATATGGCTGCTAATAATTAAGAACAAGTTGGAAGAATATATATGCGTTTCCTTTTTTCACAAAATCTCTTGTACTGATAAAATCTTGTCTATCTTAAGATTGGAGAATCACAGCCTATCTCCCTCGAGATTTTGCGACCTTCAACCTTAAGATCTTCGATTCAAGATTGCCACCTTTCTCGCACTTACATGCCCGGAGAGAGAGAGAGAGAGAGAGCAGGCGGCGATGGAGAGAAAGAGAGTGACTGAGAGAGAGTGGACGACCATGACTCTTTTTCATACACAAAGGCAAAGATGTAGAAGGCGTGATATTGATGATGGCCCCCTTTTTTAGAGACGCCGGCATCACATTGTGCACAGTCACAGCGAAGTTAATAGCCCGCTTCGGGAAAAACATGTGAAATTTAATGGAAAAAATTTACAACGAACAATTTTATAAAAGTTCGATGGTACAATTGCATTTGAAATTGTCATTTTCGGGATGATGTTTTGAAAATCGAGTCAGAGTTTAGGGATTATTATAATTATGTCTACAACTCATCGATGCGAAAATAGGATTTTTGTACCCTTGTCTAAAAAAGAAGCTCCAAGAATTATGAGTACATGCCTCTTAAAGCTGAAATAGTTTTCTCAATGTGTTCTGAGTAGGAGGCGACACAAGTCAGAATCAGCTTTGGGGAGACATATTCTTTGATACATATAATTTCAGCTAAGTAACATATTCTTTCATATTATAGAGGGTGGTTAGTGATTCTAAGCAATGTTGATGACCAAATAGTCTTTGAGATGCTCCAATCAGTGGCTCAATTTAGTCTTTCAACCCCCATCTTCTTGCGTCACGATGCCCTTTCGGTCATTCGGGAATAATTGATCTCCATCTGAAACAGAACGCATTGTCTCGTTAGATATTCCCTTTGTCCAAAATCTTCAAAATCTACGGAATAAACTCTTTTTACCCAAAAAAGTAAACTGCATACATGAACCAGGAGAAAAAAAGTTCAATAATTATATTAATCAGATTATTAGTAACAATATCTGAAATAGTTTGTCAAAATTTGGAATTACATGAACAATTTTATTCTTTGATCAAGTAAAGCAAGGCTTTACAAAATCACATTATTGGCATTCCGTCTAAAACTAATTTCTGGACGTTGATACATGAATAATCTTTTTTAGAGTAGTTCATAGCAAAACCCTAAGCACCCAGCCTCTGCTCGACAAACTACGAAAGACCTTTTTATGCAGATTAAAAGAGATGGAAGAACAAGTGCATACAAAACTCAAACGTCTACACTGCGATCCTCATTTCTTCTTCCCCTCTTCTTCTTGCTCAAGAAGCTCCTCCAATATCTTGTCATCTAAGTACTCAAACTCAAAAACCTCCTTCCCTTTCCCGCTCTCTTTCGTGTTACTACCCGAAGACGACGACCCCGAAGAGCGAGCCATTGAAGTCGCAATCCCAGGCGGGTATGGAGGAGACCCCATGACTTTCGGATAATACTCGTGAGGGAAATTCAGGATCGCCATGTGGCCTCTCAGGTTGAAAGCCGCCCTATCGTAAGCCCGGGCCGCTTCCTCCGCGGTCTCAAAAGTCCCGAGCCATGACCGCGCTCCGTTCCTATTTGGGTCTCGAATCTCGGCTGCATACTTCCCCCACGGCCTCCTCCTCACTCCTCGGTACCGCACCTCGTCTTGCTCCTTCTCTTGCTGCCTTTTCCCTTTGTTGTGGTCGTCTTCCATTGCGCGAAAGAAGGTCTACGGACTCTGGAGAGTAAATAGAAATGGAGGGTTTGGAGGGAGATAATTACGTTTCATTCGTAGGTGAATATATATAGGTTTCAGAAGTTGTGTGCGCTAAGCATACTTGTCATACGTGAGTCTCGACGGGTTTAATATTAAATTTAGTCCCGACCAACTTGCGTTTGACTACGTTGGGCTTTCGGTAATAATCAAATGAATATGAAGGGGAGATATGGGGACCCTGATCCTTCTTGCCCTTCTCGGCAGGTTCTTTTCAATGGCAAATTAAAAATTCGATTGTTCGACCATTACTATGAAGAATAATCATTCAAAGCGAAATTCTTGTGTTAACCCCATTTGCAGTTTACTGGGACGGAGGCATTTGGCAAGCTCTGGTTGGAATCCTTTTTCCTTTTTTACTTTGTCTCTCGGGGATTAGAATCCTCGAATCATATAGATCGTGTCGTCCGAATTTACATCTTTGGGTCTTACTTTTTGACATGGGTCGTTGGGCGATAACATATTCTTATTAAATTATATGCAACGGGAACTCGGACAGAAGCTTCCTCCGTGTTTTTTTCCCCCTCTCCGATTCTTGTAATCCATATCACCATAAAGCAAGGCGAGGTCCCACAAATATTATGAATCAGAATATTTTATCTGGTGGTCTCGAGATATTTCTGTATGGTCAAAAGGAAATACTGAAAAAAAACAGCAAGCTGGGTCGTCAGTGGCATCATGTCCAATTACTAAAATCTTGAATGTATGTGACCTCTCGAGGTTTCGTGCCAGTCGGTTTCCTGTTTCGATTGGCCCAACAGGTCTCCTGAAAGTTACGTCCAGCGGGAAAGTGGCGTGAATGTGCAAGGATAGCACATGAATAACGTTATATTACGTTGAACGGACAATTGATTGGAACCCATAATAAAAAACGCAATGGACTTCTTATTCTGTGTCAAAGTGAAATCCGTGCCATGCAAGCATGCACTTAGGAATTGAATAGAACAACCTTGAAAAATATGTTGGGAAGATTCTTTTACTTGGATGATACGGTGAACTAAAACACTCGGGGAAGGAACTTATGCTCCCTTTTTTTCACATGGTTTTTGTCGGCAAATGTGTTCGGGGAAACTTAGTAATTAAGATTTTGAACTTTGATGGAGAGGGAATTGGGCCAAACAGCAGGCTTAGAGATCATGGGAAGATTTGTTAGATACAATTTGGATTGTTTGAACGAGGAAAGAATTTACAAATAATCATAAAATGGAAACTCTCACGTGCTAATAGAATGAATTCAATATCAAAATAAAAACTGTATACATGTCAGCGTTTGGATCTTGCTTGTGTGATGACTTGCACCGCCAATATGCCAAACAGAAGTCCTTCATATATGTCGTTAGTGGGATAAGAACATTAGGAGTGCCATAACTTTTTTTTGGCTCACTTAAGTGTCACTTCCGACAAAAAGTGATCACTTGAGTGCCATCGGCCATTTGGCAGCTGAAAAATCTGACGTGGCTTCGCCGGAGCTGACGTAGACAATATTTTAATATATTTTTTTGAATTTTTTACTTTTTGAATTTTTATTTTTCCTTTTTTTTTGCAAAATTTTTTTCAATGCCTGCGAGGGTCACCGGTGACCCTCGCCGGCTGCAAAGGCCTCGCCCAGATTGGGCAAGGGCCGCCTTGCCCTCAGCCACAAAGGCCCCGAGCGAGGTCGTCGCGGCCTCGTCGGCAGCGGGTGAGGCCGAGAAGGCCGTCGCCAAATATGGGTGGCCGTGAGCGAGGCGGCCTCGCCAGATCTAGCGAGAGCCTTCGCGGCCTCGCTCGCAGCCGCTAAGGCCCTAGGCGAGGCCACGAAGGCCGTTGCCAGATTTGGGCAGCTGTGAGCGAGGCGGCCTCGCCAGATCTGGCGAGAGCCTTCATTGCCTCACCCACGAGGCCAAGGGCCTTCGTGGCCGCGAGCGAGGCGGCAAAGGCTATCTCCAAATCTGGCGAGGCCGCCGAGCTCGTGATCGCCCAGATCTGGCGACGGCCTTCGCGGCCTCGCTCGCCGCCGACGAGGCTGTGATAGCCTTGCCTAGGGCCTTCGCGGCCAAGGGTAAGGTGGCCGTCGCCCAATCTGGGCGAGGCCTTCACAGCCGGCGAGGGTCATCGGTGACCCTCGCTGGCATTGAAAAAAAAAAGAAAATAAAATAAAAAAAGAAAAAAATTCAAAAAAATATAATAAAAAACATTTAAAAAATCCACATATGATGGTTTGCTGGAAATGGCACTTAAATGATCTATTTTCGCGGGAAGTGGCACTCAAGTGACTCTTTTTTGCCGGAAGTAGCACTTAAGTGAGCGAAAAAAAGTTATGAAACTCAAGTGAACGCCGTATGAAAGTTATAGCACTCATAGTGTTCTTATCCCGTCGTTAGTTTATAACATAGTGGCTTAAATTTTTAGTGAGATTGTGTTGGGAGTGCACAACAGAAGCCCGATACCTTCACCCGAGGAGATTATCTAGAGGAAGCCCAAGTCCGAGCACGTTAACATATTCAGTTGAACCCACTTTCACTCAAAAGCTTAAGACAATGAGTTATGGGCCAACTAGGATATACAGAAAAATTACCAAAAAAGTCATAAATCTATTGCAATTGTGCCAATTCAGTCATAAACTTTTTTTGTGCCAATTGAGTGCTAAACATTTTGCATTTGTGTCAATCCAGCCAATTTTAGCTGGCTTGTACTGATGTCGACCTCGCCCAGCTACTGGCGAGGCGTGTCATCGCTAGATCTGGTGACCTCGCCCAGCCACTAGCGAGGGTAGCCCCTGCCAGATCTGGCATGCCTCCTAGTGGATGGGCGAGGATGACCCCGCCCTCACCCAGCAACGTGAGGTCAGACTCGCTAGTGGCCAGCGAGAATGACCTAGCCGGCACTCGCCTCAGTTCGGCGATCGGCCAGAAGAAGAAGGAAGGAAAAAAAAAAGAGAGAAAGAGAAAGAAAAGAAAAGAAAAGAAATTTTAAAAAATAATTAAAAAATTCGAAAAAAATTTAAAAATATGAAAAATTGCCAAATATCTAAGAGTTGGTCATGGCCTCGAGCTCAATCTAGATCAAGGTTGTCTAACCTCAATTTGGACCTCCCTCAAGCTCTATTAGCTCGTGTGGTTACGAGATATGATAGAGCTTGCTCAACCGCCAAGAGGCTAGCCAAGAGAGCGCCAGTGGGGGAACTAATTGTGGGAGTGGGTAGCATAACCGGTGCTAATATCGACACTTTTACAATTTTTTTTAGGGTTAATACCGCGAAAAATCCTAAACTGGTACACCTATAACAAATTTGCCCCAAACTAATCTTTTAATCACAAAAAATCTAAATTGGTATACCTATGACAAATTTACTCCAAACTAATTTTTTGACTGCCAGAAACCCCAAACTGGTACACTTGTGACAAATTTACCCTATGTTAGTTTCCGTTAAATTGGATTAATACCACGAAAATCACAAACTAGTACATGTGATATCCAAATTAGCAATTTGACGGAACTATTTAATGGAAATTAACGGAAGGTAAATTTATCACAGGCATACCAGTTTGGGATCTTCGGTGGTGAAAAAATTAGTTTAGGGTAAATATATCACAGGTGTCCTAGTTTGAGATTTTTCATGATATTAATCCTTTTTATAAGGTTTCTAAATTTTTTTTATTTTTTTTCTTTTTCTTTTCTCTTTCTTTTACTGTGGGTAGGCGAGGGCTTGGGTGATAGCCGTGATGCCCTTATTGTCCATAGCAAGGGCTCGTGATCCCTCACTCGAATCTAGTGAGGGCCGCAATGCCCTCGCCAAATTTGGCCAGGTGTGCTTGCCTAGCCCTCGCCTGTGGCCGTTGACCTTTGCTAGCCACTGCCCAAGCCATGGACCAGCGGAGGCAAATAAGAAACAAGAAAAAGGAAAAAGGAAAGGAAAGAAAAGGAAAGGAAAGAAAAGGAAAGGAAAAAAAAATTTATCCATGTCAGCACTAGCCGTGCCACATAGAATTGTTGGCGTCCACGTCATTGATTTCCAGTCAAAATTAGTTAGAATGACTATTTTGGCCAATTTTTTAAAAGTTTAGGATTAATTTGGCTAAATTAGAAGGTTTAGGATGTTTTGGCTATTTTCTTGATGAAATGTTGAAAAAGGAATTAAAAAGCACATTAAAATCACTCAAATATTGCCTGCGTTTTCCAGCCCTGATAATATCCATTGGTCATCCAGTGTTTGTCTCACAATCTCCCAAAAGAAAATCATTAAAACTCTTCTTTTGACGTTAACACATGCAATGCACAAAAAGATATGGAAAAGTGGGTTTAAAAATTTGTACACCCGGTCAATTTCTACGATATAACTGGGGATTGCAAGTAGGGGTGTGCATTGGTCTTGGTCTAACTCGGGAATCGGACCGAATTGGCCAATTCTCGATAGTTCCCGTGGGAACCTATATAGTTTCCAGTTCCACAAATTTTGGAAGCAGCAATAACCGAAAAAGGTTCCTAATTCCTTGTGTCAAACTGAACCGACGAAGTCGGACCGGCATGCTTTGTTTTCTTTTTCTTTATTTTTATTTTTTTCCTCTTCTAGACTTTAGTAAAGCTGCTTTACTAGTTTTAATGGTAAAACCCTAAATTGAACATAACTCTCTTACCTCTCTCTCTCCTCTCTCTGCTCTCAGACTCTCTCCTAGACCCTTCGTCGCTCCGTCACTATCACGACAAGTCCAGGGAGAGCTGGACCGAGCAGAAGCATGACAAGTTCTCAAAGCGCTTACCTGTAAGTAACCTAAGCGGGTATGACGCGATTGATCAGAGTTCTTAGTTGAGATATATGTGTTAAGTTAATTTTTGGTGATTTTGAGGATGATCTCATCTTGCGTGGTGGACCGACGGATAAGAGCTTGCCATTGGTTCTTTGTAATGCTGATTACTCGAGTTGATATTTCTTTAGTGAACATTGTAATCTAGTGTGATTTAGTTGTCAAACGATTATCAATTTCTGCGATTTAGTTGTCTGCTTTGTATCAGAAGGAAATTCTTGAAGTTTCTTGTC